GGAAAGGGAATCAGCCAGCCTAAGGATATGTGGGATCGTAAAGAGCAGCTTTGTAGTCCCGCATGTTTTGATTATGATCTTGTAAGGATAGACAAAGAGGCTAGATTCAGAGAGCACGTAAGAGTCGACCAAAGAGTTTGAGAGGGAGGAAACAATCGTGCAAGCTGCTGGAGTCAAGATCTCATCTAACTGGGATTTAGTAAGAGCACGGAGTCCCTTTCCCTCGGGATCAAGAAAGACATTAGGCTCAAAGAATGAGACTTCAAGCCTTTTCTCAAATCCTTCGAAACCAATAGCAGAGACCGCCATTTTTCAAACGATGAATGTAAAGCGGAAGAAGAGTTTTCGAAAGCAGCAAAAGAAGAAAAAAGCGCGAAAGCTAGAACGTTGATCAACCACGGTTATTAAGTGGTTAGGAGGAAAACGTTTTGAGGAATCTCAAGATGGTTTGCGAGTGATCTGCATAAAGAAAAAGATAAACAAACAATCAAAAAAGATTATTTAAAACATGTATAAGAAGAAAATCAAAAACATTGCTTTACGGGTTTCTTCTTACGTTTGAGTAAGCAGCAGATCTGAATTTCTTGATTCCACCGTTTGGTCGAACGTCTTCAATGCTGTAACCAAGAGGAGCTTCGTAGAGAAGACTGTTACTACTACTAGACTTCTTTTTACCACCTTTAGTCTCCATTTCTCATTAACCTAAACATAATATCATACAAAGAAGAATGCAATTAAAAACAGAGAACTCTGTTTCAGAGTAAGGCAAAACGCAAGAATTAAGGATCTAAATCACAATAGAGCCTGAAGTAATCCAATACACAGAGGTTAAATAAACAATTTTTATAGGTCAATTCGATAACGCAGATTAATTTTCTTTATGGGTCATCAAATTATAACGAAAACCCTAATGAATCTGATTCGAAACCAAAGTGTGTGAATAATAAATAGAAAGCATAAAGGTGGAACCTTTGGAATTACTTGAACAAACCCTAAAACTCATGAAGAAAAATGCTTACAAGATCAAATTTTTCTTTAATTTAACGAACCCTTGAGCCAAAAACCTGGAAAGTACAACAAAACAAACATAAACATCGAAATCAAGAGAATGATCAAAGGATTTTCAATACTCCTCAGAACCAGAAATCAAAGAAGAAAAATCTTAAATTTACCCTAATTTGATCAGAATTGATTCGATCAGGGAATGGTGGAACTTCGAATCTTGTTAATTTGATTTTCTTAGTGACGAGAAAATTGTATGAGAGACAAATGGCTTCAAAGGGGTCTGATTTTATAGTCAAAGGTTAGTGGACATACTGAACTTTTGAAATTACATATTTGTCATTTGCTTTTAAGCGAAAAAAGATAGCAATAATTTCACCGTTGGAAAGTTTAATGAAATGTGATATAGAATCTACCGTTACATGGCCAGTGTAATGAAAATCATATATGCAATGATTATGGGCTTTTAAAACTTAGTAAAACTTATTACTTTGTGCATAAAATATATTTTTATTCTTTTTTATTAATTATAAATATAAAATATACAAATTTACCATAAGATTTTACTGTTAATTAGATAAAACTGTTCATCATAGTTTATAATTTTTTTCTGCTAAGAATAATTTTCATTGACATCAGAGACATTATATAGAATTATTGAAACACAAATTATTATATACGCAGATGTATGTGCCATACACTGAAAAAAATATAGCAAAAGAACTTTAACGATATTTTCCAAAGAGTTGTCTTACTCGCTAACCGATCACAAAATCCGTTATTATCTAATTTTATATTCGATTTTTTCTGACGTTATTTGTATAGTCGTTTATAGTTTTAAAAATAATTTTATCTATAGTAAATGTAATGTAAGTAACACCGAATATTTTTTTTAAAAAAATTGGTGTAACTGAATTTTTTCTTTTTTGGATCAACAAGTAAATTTGTTTATTATGGAATCGTTGTGGAATTTTTCGTACCATATTTTGTCGTGTTTTTAATTATGACAGAAAATTAAATTTATTCATCATAAATGATAAAGTTTATCATTATAATATGATAACAAATATACTAAAAAAATAATGAATAGTGTAAATGTGTAATAATAGACCATTAGAAAATACAATATATGATATTGTCAATTTAGTTATTATTTAAAATTGAATTGAAAAGGGAAGATGAGCATAAACTTTTTTTTTGTTTCGGATCACAAGAAGCTGCGCATAA